AAGTGCCTTTCATAACAGGGGTGAGGTTAAAAAAAAACATCCCAGGTTCACAAAATTTTCCAAAATAAACTGGGCGCAGCTGTCGAAATGTGCCGTTTATAATTAATCTAACTTTTTCCACAGAGGTTCAAGATACCAAAGTCAGTGAAGGCAAACATGAATTGAACAAACTGAAAACAACGTGCTTGCTGAACACTAAATAATCTCAGAGACTGTACATGAGGAGAGGAATAAATGAAGAAACCTGCCAAATCCATTTCCTCAGCTGCGTTTCTGAGAGCCAATAAGAAACCATTAATCAATAAAACTTCAAAATAATTGCAGCAACCAAATAGTTATTTGCCTAATCATCGGCCTATAGCACAGACTCTTTTCCATATGAAATGAAAACACTTTATTCTGTCTTATCAAGTAGAACATCAATCATATTTACACTATTTACACATTTCAGGCCCTTTTGCAGATCAGGAACACAGGGACCGTTCTGACTGGTCTGCACCAGGACCGAGCATCCGAGCCATTTTCCAACAGCATGCTAAAGTACTTTAGTGTTAGTGCTGTACATGATAAACATCATGCTGTGTGTGTGGACTGAAACTGCCTTTCCACTATCTCCAAAATTCAACATTTGATAGTCGCATTACGCCCCCTAGTGGCAGTTGCATCGAACTTACAAATCATTTGTGAACCAGCCTTTACCCTCCGCTTATTCAAAATGAATGAATAATAAATATACTATTAATACATCCACACAAAACAAATGACCAAAAAAAAAAAAAAGAGCTATATAATGCAAATAATGACTTCAAATATAAATGTTCATTGCAGCCCTTATTGCAGAAATGAAAAACAAAAACGAAAAAAGGGGGGCAAATACTCACTTTGTTTTTTTTTACTAATCTTAGGCCTGGTTTTACAGTAAGGGCTTAGATTAAGCCAGGATTAGTCCTTAGTACAATTAGGATTTTTAAGTAGCTTTTATAAATGTTCTTTGTTTGTTTATTACATTTTTAACACCATGTTAACATCGAGGCTATTTACATGGCAAACACAAGGTCTCCCAATACATACAATTTAAATTATTATATAAAACATTTCAACTTGACATAAGATAGAAAATCTAAAATACATTTGAGGGATCCATTAAGAATATTCCATGTAATCATGCCTATCAATAGATAAAAACCAATGTGTAAGTGTTGAGTGACCCAGTCAGCACTTGATTTAAAGTTATGGAAATTTCAACAATTATGGGGTGACAAGACCTTGAGTCAGAGGCAATTAAAAAGTTCCGTTCTTGACCCTTCTCAATATTTTCCAGAACCAGGAGTAATGTTCGAAGCCTCAGCTGTGAAGACAAAGCCTTGGTCCGAAGTTAAAATGCCATATTGTTGATCTCCTACCAGTTATCGGTCTATAAATGTTCTTTAGAAAAAAAAAAAACATCTTGAGACAAAACAATGGCACAGACATAATTTTAAGATATCTCGGTGCAAGTTGTTTTTAGTTAAAACAACCCAAACATTCTTTTATAGTCTGGGACTAGGCTTAAGCCTTGTCTGTGAAACCAGGGGTTATTATTTTAACATGCAGTCTTGGTGGTTGCATGCGTTCTAGCAGCAAATACACATACGGTTGGTATAATAAACCATCATCACGCAGCAGCGGCCTCTGTGAATCTGACCCGTACTGTGGTGCTCTCCCTCCCTCTAGTGGCTGAGGAAAGATTGCAAATAGAAGTACCTTATTTGGGATTCATCCGATGAAAAATAAGAGTATTCCAATGGAAGACCATCAAGAACCTTGCATTAGGGATGTGCACAACGAATAATTTCATTAATGTTTAAACGGAAATGTTGCAACCAGCTAGTCGACTAGGTATTGTAAAGCGCCCGTGACAAGAGCTGTTGCTAGGGACCCAGTTTCGAGTCCAACATGTCCTGACCTGGGGCTGGTTGTATAAACTGCTAAGACTAGACTTACAAGTTAGGCATCACATTTCTTCCTTTAAGACTGTTCAGAACTGTTTTAAGTCAGTTACATAAAAACGTAGATTGGTCTAGTTTGATACTAAAAAGTAAGCCCGATTCACCCTTGACTAACCGGTAGTTGGTCATACTAGTACTTAGGGTTAGTTCACCCAAAAATTAAAATTCTGTCAGTAATTACTCACCCTCATGTTGTTCCAACCCCGTAAGACTTTCGTTCATCTTCGGAACACAAATTAAGATATTTTTGATTAAATCTGAGAGCTGTCTCACTCCTCCATAGGCTTCTATTGTAATTGAAACTTGCCGGCCCAGAAAGTTATTAGACGCATCGTTAAAATTAGTGATGACCGATATTGATTTTTTAAAACTGATACCGATTATTTGCATGTTTATGTGCCCGATAACCGATATTTATTTACTTCTGTTATACTTCTGTTTTTGACACAATTATTACAACACAACTGAACTGAACAAACCATTTTATTTATAACAATTACTCCCTCCTTTACATACAAAAAAAAAACTCAACTTATTTAAACACCAAAAAATAGAGGGGTCTGAGTGCAAAAAATAAAAAGCACAGTTACTTTGCAAACTGCCACCCCTGCCATCACTTAGATTTTTCCTCTTTTCAGTCATCTTAAAAAACAAAACAAAAAGTGTTGAAAGTTAGCAGTCTTTCATGTTAAATTAAATCTTCAAATTACAAAAAAATTATTATTTATATCATTTATATATAAATTATACATATCATTTATAAGCATCAGCAGCAACATTAATGTTAACAATAGGCAAAATAAATGTGAAGTCTAATGTTTTCAAATGGAGAAAAAACTCTCAACTCTGCAGAAATGTAATCTCATTTTAAACAGTTTTAGAAGGTTTATGTGCCGTTTAATAGGCTTAAGAGTGAGGAATAATACGCTAGGTAATATTAATTCACTGAATAATATTCGCTTGAATACATTTTCAGGAAAGTAACAAACAAAACAGCATATACATCATGGCATTTCTCAGAATTATTAATAATGTTTTTGTCGGTCTTGTTGGATTTTGAGACACTCAAATGTGAACACTTTTTATGTAATAATGATTTTCATGGGTACTTACAAATAAGACATACAAATCATAATATTGTAAGGGAATATAATGACAAGGAAAACAATATTCTTACAATGTTTATTTCAATTTATAAAACGGGTGACATGACTAAAATAATTACAAAATTGTAGAAAAGTCTACAAGACAGAAAATTAGAAAATACCCAATATATTAAAAATAAATGGGAAATGGAAGGAAATCATAGATGAAGATTGGGAAAGTATTCTTAAATCACAGTGGAAGACAACACATTCCTCAACCAGGAGAGAATTTGGTTGGAAAAATATTTTTGTCGGTCTACTCTAGATCATGAAATGCCTACTGACAAAGCGCTGTTTATCTATGCATTTACACAGAACTATACTCAACTGCGATCGCTCGTGGAGATAATAAATCATTTCCACAGATCTGTATTTATTTAGATGTGTATTAGAGAAATAATTAGCTAATATAATTTAGGGTGTTTTAAACAAGTGAATCTTGTTAAACGTTTCATGCAGTGGCCGAGCTTGAGCATTCCTGATCATCAACCCAGTTGATGTGAGTGCTCAGCAATATGAACTAACTTTTTTTTACGAGACTAATGGTGAGCAAATACAACAGAGAGAGAATTAAATTCAGCGCTCATTCATGTCTGTTTTATTTAATTCATGTAAAGTTACGTCTTTATTTGGACAGGACAGAGTTGGCGCCAGAGCAGATCTACTGGAGGGGCATTGGGTCATCAGCGGGGGGGGCACTGCCGTTTGAGAAATATTTTGACGCAAAAAAACGAAACCCCTTTTATTATTATTATTTTTATTATTAATAATTATTATTTGCGAATTTCCCCACCATTTTTTGCCAGGGTCGATATTGTCCCCAGCACTTTTAATCATCTCGCTGCACGGATGTACCAATACGAATAAATAAAACATAACTAAGAGGCGATCTAGCACGCTGAAATGTATTGTTTTTGAAATCAAGTGATCAAAGTGCTCGTTGACTGCGATCAGTGGTGCTGATAAAGTGTTCTCTTGTGGCTCGCGCAGCCACGCACAGTCTTCACACGGATGCGCGTTTTAATCCGTTGCGGAGAAATCACAAAGTAAAATGCACACAAACGTGTCCCTGCTTGATATACAACCACTGATAACCATAATCGGTTTTAATCCGCACTCAGGCAAAAAAAAAAACTATACGAGTGCGGATTAGAACCCAGAATCTCTGACACGCTTGTCTAAAGTTCTGCCACTGGACCATTAAAGCACATACAAAAAAAGTTGGATTGGATATATCTATTTCTTCACGTGAAAATTCCTGGCACCAACACATATTAGATCTCATTAAACGACAAATTAAACACAATGTACTATTTAAATAGATTGCTGGACATCGGTATTGTATAGCCTACATCTGATTTATGATTTAGCATTGTATTAGCAACTGTGGTAGGAGGGGCATCAATGACCGCTAGGGGGGGGCACGGCCCTCGAATGCCCCACCATAGCGCCGGCCCTGGGAAAGGACAATTTTCTTTATTCTGTGTTGTACATCAGAATGTAGGCTCACTATTGGCCGACGCTGGTCATGTGTATGATGCTGGCCAATAGTGAGCCTACGTTCTGACGTACAACCCAGAAGCGCTGCGCTGTTACACTACGTGAACTCACTCAGAGGCCCACATAGAAGCAAATGAATAGTTGAATAAAGTCGTTCTTTTTGTTTTGTTTTTGCACACAAAAAGTATTCTCGTCGCTTGATAAACTTAAGCCATGTGAGTGAGACAGCTCTCAGATTTAATAAAACATATCTTGATTTTGTTCCGAAGATGAACGAAAGTCTTACCGGGTTGGAACAACATGAGGGGGAGTAATTACTGACAGAATTTTCATTTTTGGGTTAACTAATTCTTTAAGACAGTCTTACCATAATGACTATGTTTATGGATCTGGTCCCAGATCTCATTCACCTTACTGTCTCTCAACTTTCCTGATTCTGGACCTATAAATAAAGGTAGAAACAATCCCATTAAAAAATTAATTAATTAATATACCCTTTTGAAACATTTGCTTGGTGGGCTCTTTAATATTGTATTAACAGTCCTGGATTTAAAGAAATATCTACATTTACAGTATTTCCTCTCGATGTATAAAAAGTAAATGGATCTGATCACCACTTTGAACAAAGTATAAAGGTACCGAGGTAATGGGGGATTACAATTTAATAACTTCAAATCAATAGCAGTTTGCACTACAAACTCTATAACGTTTCATAATTGTTTTCTGACACAACATGTCCTCTTCTGTGGATCTGATAAGCCTAAACAAACAAGGAGCCTCTAGAGAACAGGAATGAAATCCCTCTTGAAACTCATTTCATAAGGAATGTTGGTATCGTGCAAAATCAGGGTAATCTTTTCCATCGTCTTTTCCAATCAGGGCCGTTTAAACGACGCCCTTTTCAGCTAAAAACAGCAAACTGTTTTTTAGTGTTTTGGCCATTCATTTACACAACAACGGTGTTTTGGGGGCCTGAAAATTGTTTCAAAATTTGTTTCAAAGTGCATGTTTTGGAAAATGATAATGTTATCGTCCCCGTGTAAACTACAAAACTTGAATTTGTGAAAACGGTGATGTCATGCACATGCATATTACGTGTTCAGTCTATAGGCACGTGGTGTTTCTTTACAACTACTTTTGAAAACATCGCCGTCTTTACGCGGAAAACTTTTCAATTTTTAGAAAATCGTTGTCGTTTAAACGTAACCTAAATCTCTTTGCTGACACTATGGATCTAATTAAAAAACCCTGCTAGAAAAACGCTCATGACTTCTTTTTCATATGGCTGATCAACTTTTTGAATAATTAAAATATATAAACACATTTAAAAAATATACTTATTATAATATTTAATGTCTTTTTAGATAGAATCACAATGCATTTGGGTCATTCTTAAAATATGGTGACAAAATGTACTGTTCGGTCACGAAAATAAATTCAAAGAAACGTCACTATAACAATTCTAAAAATATGATATGGTTTGAATATATTGTTTAAATATTGAGGGGCTTAAAAAAATATATCGTCCCCTTCATCTGGCATACATCTATAACATTTAGGCTACAATTACGGTAAAACATGCAAAAATAAAAAGCAAAAAAAAAAAATTTCATAAAAGTATTTAATAATACAAATATTTTGAAAAGAACATTTTAGTGTCCAATATTAGTGTTAGTGAGACAGACTTTTTTTGTCATGCGTTTAATACGGATTTTGGATTATTGCAAAAAACAAGCTCTGTGATCAACAAAAATGTATGATACTTACAAGTTTTGTCCATCAAATAAATTTTCACAGATGAACAGAAGCAAAAAGCTAAAGGTAAGGTCACAAATAACTTGTTTTTCCATCTCCACAAATGAGACGAGTGTCGTTCATTATGTCCTTGTTGAAGTAAATTGTAGTTTTCCTTGCTTTACCCCGGTCTTTAAGTAAAAAGATGACTGTGAAAAATAGTAGTATTTAATTAAATGCATTTATGGTGAGATTACTACATTTTATGTACGAACCATGCGCTGTCACTTTAATTCAGCGAGTGCAGCACAGCAGAAATAGACTCGGTGTAAACGATCTGCTGTATATACGCACCGCTCCTGGAACGGATCGCTGGACCGCATCCGCGTGCAGTGTGAAATACTGTGTCAGGCTACACAAATATTGATCTTGACATTGTAAGCCTCTTGTCTTTTTTACATGTCTTACACCGTACATTTAACTTAAAATATTTAATTTTGTACAAGAAAACAGCCAGTATTAATGAATTATTAGTAGCCTATTGTAGTGTCTCAGGAAATCTTGCTCACTTTTCCTTCAGACTCTAATGAAGGACACTCTAAAATGAAAATGCAGATATAGACCCTTTCACCAGCCAACAAATAAGTCAACCATTATAATAACTCCCACCGAACCAATCAGGGCCGGCCCTGACCAATTTTGCTCATTTTAAATTTCTCAATTTATCCAGAATCGTGCAGCTAAGTTCTCATGAGAGCGCAGAATTCAGTTAGCCTTTTTTTATTTACCAGGACAGTGCACCTGTAACATTGCAGAATTAGCCATGGGCTAGTGTTCATCTGAAGTCCTGTTGACCAGTTACAGTGGCACCCTAGGGAAAGCTTGAGGTTTAGAGATTGACACCTGTAGTGATTATAAAGGGAGGACTCAAATATTTAGCCAAGCAAATCCCTACCACACCTGTTAACCATATAACTGAAAAGGAGGATATTTGAGAATCTTTAATTCTTGCCCTACGGTCAAATGAAGCCCGGGTTATCACCGACTAAAACTAAAAATATTTGTGTGTAACTAAAAACAAATGCTGAAATAAAATAAAATATAAATCATTCTTAAAAAATACATAAACTAAACAAAAGTTAGAAATATTGCCTTGAAGTTAAAGCACTAAAATTATTAACTGAAAATAAATAAAAATAAATAAAAGAATATATATTTTAAAACAAATAAAATGACAAAAGCACATAATGAAATGACTATAAATGAAACTAAAATTAACATGAAAAGTAACATTATAAAAATAAAAGCAAATTCAAAATATTAATTAAAATAAAATAAAAAATAAAATAACACCGCTTTGAGCAAACTATTACAAAACACACAGTACTGCAAACTCTGTGAACCCACACAAGTATAATCACTTTGAGACGTGATCTGACCTAAAACAACCAAGCAAGCACGCAAGCGGACTGTTAAGCTTAATAATTCAACTGCCAGAGGGTCTAACAAACAAACTGTGGCAAACATACATATTGACTGAGCAAAAGGCGCCCACGTACAGAGAGCTCACAAACTGACTCACATTAACAGATAGATGGCAATACGAGGCCTGAGAACTACTCACGTGGCTTCTGGCCCCACACGTGCAAACGGAGCTTCCCAGAAGAGTAATAGATGAACCCCAAGACCAGCATGGGACACAGGACGAACAGTAGTTTGTGTGCAGGCTTCATGTTCCTCAACCATTCACATGGTACCGTGTTTTTACATCACCTAGAAACAGGATAGAAAAGTCAGGGAAGCTGAATCACATGTTGACAGCATGCAGTCAAGCAGACAGACTCTCATTATTAAAAGTACATAAGTCAGTTTGTCAGCTGAGGACATTTTTTTTTACACACGTTTTTTTCTCAAGAAATTGATACGTTTATTCAACAATTATGCATTAAATTGATTCTTTTTTAAACTTGCATAGTAAAATGCCCCAAAGTATAGTATGTTTAAAAGAGTATGTCAGAAAGTCCCCGGATGGTCTACTATTTCTGGTGGATTTTCGAAGTGTGGATCCGTGCTCACTCTAAAGGCTAATGTTGCCCACAACCCATTGCGGAACTACAAAACTTGGCGGATATGCGCGACCGACGGTGAGATATTCAGATAAAGGTTTGAGTGACTAATCATTTATATATTTATTTAATGTTATCCGTGTTATATTCCATCTGCAAAAACAATGTGGACTTTTATAAAGATCCGTTTGGCCATTAACTTTTAAATGCATCATCATTATGCATTAATATGAAGAGAGTTTTCCGCATGAAAGACACTCGACTGCAGGTCAACGCGCTCCTGTATTTCTCTCCGATACGGTAGGAAATTAAATTCCATTAAATGTGGAGGATTTTAACTGTGACAAGATGATTGACAGGCCAGTTTACTTTGACAGGATGCGACAGAGAGCAACCGTTAAAGACGCTATTGTATGACGTGATAGTATGTCCCAAAGCTTGTCTACTCTTCTGCTCCACACTCAAAATAATCTTTTTTTTCTTTACAAAAAGAGTACATACTTTTAGGGCGTAGTATAAGTAGGCGAATTGAGACGCAGGGACTGTCTTTGTCACTGAATCATTCATTCAATTGATTCGTTCAAACGGCTGATTCATTCAGGAAAAAAGCAAGTGACTGTCTTTATGAATGGGTCACTGTCACTGAATCATTGACTCACTAGATTCGTTTGAAAACGCAGATTCATTCATAAACGAAACACCCGTGTTTGCTCGGAGATGCACCGCAGGTCAGCTGTGATTTTGTTTGGAACTATTTTCGCTGACGAAATAGATACAAATCTGACAATACTTTTCTTAAAATGAAAGTCACTTAATATTAACTTCATGTTTATCGAATTGTTGAATAAAATCAGTATTACATTTGCCAAAGCCATTAAAACATTACATTAAAAAGCTGTCACTCGTCTTAGTTCATCGCAATCTCTCAAACTTCCCTTATAATCAATGTTGTCTACACTCCACAATGAATCTCTTATTTACATTGTGTCTATACTTTGTTATAATGAGAGGATTCACGAGCCTGCATAACTAAGCACTGAACAAACTCCAGCGTTTTGAGCGGATTTTAACTTAAACGCCTCTGATTGGCCACTGTGTCTCAAGAAATCAACAGATATGTCTGATATACATTGCTCAACGCTGCAAAAACACGTTCTCTCATCACGCTCTTTTTCCAGAGTGCAAACACAAATACGAACAAAGGGCGCTTTTCAAAATATGTTTGGCCAATATGCAGTTATTTTTTACAACTGAGGGTGCACCCTCTAGCACCCCATAGAACCGGGCCTGATCGGGTCCGTCGCACTGGTGCTCCTAAACACTATTTCACAGTCGCACACAGTAATTTTCAATGTATACAACAATGCAAATTATTTAGCTAAATAGTAATTTCCTACTACTTAACTCTGAAGAAACAGAGACAGAAAAACAGACAAAAAACCTCTGCACATAGTAACCTAGAATACGGTCTAACACTTGATGGCTGCTCTGTCAAGTCTTCGTCGTCAGTTAGGAACCTGGGTGTGCTCTTTGAAACAAATCTTTCATTTGAAAGCCACTTTTCTAGCAACTGTAAAACCGCATTCTTTCATCCTAAAAATATATCTAAAATTCTAAATTATGACATATGCTTTCAATGAAAATGTGGAACAGTTAGTTAATGTGTCCGTGATCTCAAGGGTAAATTATTGTACTTTTCTACTGGTTGGTTGCCCTGCACGCTTAATAAACTCGCTGGTCCAAAACACAGCAGCTAGAGTTCTTAGAACTAGGAAGCATGACCATATTAGCCTATTAAACATTGTGTAGATTTTTAAATATAATCGCTGATGACAAAGCACTAAATTGTTTAGCTCCCCAGTGCTTGAGCGAGCTCAACTAGAGTGCGCTATTGCAATCTCAAAATTCTGGCCAGTTAATACATATAGAATATCAAAATCAACTGCAGGTGGTAGATCCTTTTCATATTTAGCACTTAAACTTTTGGAATGGTCTTCCTAGCATTGTTCGAGAAGCAGACACACACTGTCAGTTTAAATCTAGACTAAAAACACATCTCTTATTCAAACCAGTTAAATGATTGTTAGACTGCATAAACTAGGTCAATCGGAACCGGAGGGGTATCCAGATCAGATGGTGGACCTGAGCCTAGACACGACCACAACGCATCCCTGAAGTGTCAGCAGAGATTGTGTCAACTAGACTCTACCCTGTGAAGGCCTCATCGACAACAACAACTGATCCACAACAAACCCGTCTCCATACTGTGATGACTCCAATCTTCAACCAGATGGAACTAGATAGAAGTCAGATTCTATCAGAACATTCAGAATATTTGATCTGTAATGCTGCCTGAATCATAATCATACACTGTTCGTTCGTTGGCCAGAGGAGAACTGGCCCTCCGACTGAGCCTGGTTTCTCCCAAGGTTTTTTTTCTTTCCATTCTGTCACCTGATGGAGTTTTGGTTCCTTGTCACTGTCTCCTTTGGCTTACTTAGTTGGGGACACTTAATATTCAACAATATTATTGAAACCATTATATGAGAACTAAACTGAGGTGGGCGATGACATTACTGTTTTCTCCAGAGCGGATATATATATATATATATATATATATATATAAATAAATGAACTAATAACTTTTTTTACAACAAAAATTAACCATCACTGAACTTACTTAAACTGGACTATGATGCTATTTTCTTCTAGATCTGTTGCATTATTTTCCTCTTATCACTGTGAAGCTGCTTTGAAGCAACCTGATTGTAAAAAAGCGCTATAAATAAAGGTGACTTGGTTTAACTACAAGTACACCTAATTATTATTTGAAACGAACCAGAAGATGCTTAATCATATCCTATATCTTTCCACCTGTAGTCCCTAATGACCTAACATGTTCAACATTGCAGAAAAACTACCATGCCAAGAACCTTTTGACTAAAATGTTTATTAGTTTCAGTGACATTTATTCATTCATTCTAATTTAGTTTTCATTTAATTTTACTCAACAAATCTCTGTTTAGTCTGTTTTGGGGAAGGTTACAACTTTGGTTTTCAAAATATTGTTTCAGAAATGCAAACAATTAAAGATATTGAAATTTCAACTTCATTTGGTTGGTTTTACGTTGGTGGTTTAAGTTAGCTTTAAGAAAAGTAATATGATTATTTGTAAAAGGAAATTTGATTTTTAATTAGTTTTTAAAAGGGGTAAATTAGGCTACCTTTACAATTTCACATGGGGTTCAGATTCAGTTAAATGGTCAGTTTACACCCAGATGGTGCAACTTACCCACTGACTCGGATCAACTTACCCCTAACCTGGGGTAAATTGAGCCACAGGAACACTTTCTTTTATAGACCTTTTCAGAAACCTTTGTCATATATATATATATATATATATATATATATATATTCTGATCATTTAAATTGATAGGAAACATCCTGAAATTGTACTACTACCTAAAGTAAAAAAAAATTCTCATCTTACCCCACACTCCCCTCAGTCGGTTGCAAAATTTCTGTTTAAACGTTAATGAAATTAGTTGTTGTACACATCTCAATGATAGCTTTGTGTGAGAAACAGCTATCATTGTGTGGCTGCCGTTAGCTCTTTCAACGGCTGCCTCACGAGCTCAGCTTCTTGTAAGTTTTCTCGCTGGAAACAGACATCATAAAATGAGAACAATTTTGTGTGGGGGGAAAAATACAGAAGCTCAAGGTGGATCAAAGTCTGTCATGATAATTGGTCAAACCCACTAAAATTGTTGTCATGATATGAGCAGCACAACAATAATTTTAAACTTCATTAAGTGCTATAGAGATTATGTTCCCCTGTATGATACCTCAATGCCACAGAAAAACATACAAATACAGAATATATAATCAAGAAGATCATAGTTAATACAGGTGTTCCAGCACAGCAACCGCAGGGAAAGTTCATCACATTAACCATAAACATGTTTCACTAACATTTGATGACCAGAAAGTGTCAACACATTTTATCTTCATTTAAAGGAGTAAATAGTTTAATCACTTAAAAACCTATTTTAATGCTGCTCTAAAAAATAAATAAATGCCACTTGTGTTGATAACAATTACATCTAAACACGTTGAAATGTTACTTGTTTGTCACACTGTATCAATAATTCACCCTATTAGTCTAATGTAACGTGGCATTTAAAACAAGTGAAAGACGTGAAAGTCAAGATCCATATTATGGTAGTCACTTCTCGATTTTATCTGGCTATTTTCAGTTCGTCAAAAGCACAACTGACTCGCAGTAACAGCACAGCGTGATAATGTTTCATCTATTTTAAAGTATGCAGATTTCGAAATGTGATAATGGCACTGTGATGTCCAGATACTGCATGTTTGCATTTCTCAAACTGAGAGCGCAGGCAGGCTAACGGTTTACCCTCCCCTTTACTCCACACACAAACCAATGGTAAGCTCTCAAGGTAAACACAACATAACCGATACATTTCGACACGTCAGACAACATAAACGCGAGTCTAGATCGAGAAAAGGGTTAGAATACGTTACATATGGTGGAAAATATGAAGGAAACGCGATGGATTATACGCGCTCAGGGGCCTAAAGCAAAGCAGCCTATTTGCGCTCATTCAGCTAGCCAGCCACACACAAACACAGTCCAGACGGGCTAAAACTCATTCTCAAGCATACAACATTTGGTTCTTTTTTTAAAAGCATCATACATTTGACGTTTGGCTTACCGGCGCCGAGTTAGTTAGTCGCGCAGATTGAACGCTCAGTGGTAAAACAACCGTACGTTATAAAGCACATGAAAATTACCCCTTCCACCGGGTTACATTCACATTACCTGTCCCCACTAGTCGTCAAAACCCTCGGGTTAAAACGTTATCGACCACATTTTTCCTTTCCTCCGCCGTTACTGTCCATCTCTCTTCAGTAAAATTCTGCGAGGATACTTTATCACCTCCTCAAAGCAACCAAAGTGAAGCTGCGTGTTGGTTTATTTGGATCTCTCTCTCTCTCTCTCTCTCTCTCTCTCTCTCTCTCTCTCTCTCTCTCTCTCTCTCTCTCGACACCGTTTAAGTGGGAGGTCTACAGACATAGTCCTAGCGGTCGTGTCTCAAATGTTAGTGAGTCGACTACATGGACATAAAAGACAATAATTAAAGCATTACAAATGTGCATTTTGCGACATCGCCCACGTGTTCAAATTCGAATGTTCGACTGTTTACAGTTCCCAAAAATGCAATCTAGTTCATTAATAAATCGATTGAACTAGTTTACAAAAACTATCCGAACGATTAAAATTTTAATTGGATTTGAATCAAATGTCTGCCCCCGTCTGGACAGTTTCCGACTCACCTCTTTCCGGAATGCCGAGAGCCGATAGCAGGGGCAGCTGATTTGGAGTGACAATTTTACTTCGGCTAAAGGACGCAAGGCAGTTACTTTTTACATTTATTGCCGTATATATATTACAATAATGTTTCAAATTATATTATAAAAAAAATATTTTCAGATGTAAATAAATTATTGTCCATTAATATGCCTAATTTGTTTCTAAATGAATTTGTTCAAATGAGCCCAATCTGCATAGCCCTTACATAAAATTCAATAAACACATGAATTAATAAAACCGTAATGTGTCTACTTGTTGGAACATTTTAGACTAGCATGTAATAGGCCCTATCACACAGGCATGTGAGTGATGACGTATACGTCATACAGGCATATAGCCTAATAATCGTTGAAATTATTATTTTAAGCGTAGGCCTACTGTTGTAAAGAACCGATTGCCTAACTGAAATGCTACGTAATCTTGTTGTGCCTTCCTTCAACAGTCAAATGTGCTTTGAATATTTATGTGAATGTGGCAGTTTCATGGCAAAGAATGCATCTTTTCATAGGCGTTGTCTTTCTGTTCACGTGGCAGTCTCTCCTCGTCAGCTATTGCATTATATCTTTGCAGTTGTGCGCACATGATGGGCCCAGTTTGTCCTTTATATGCCAGTGGGCAGCATTTTAGTTCCACCCTTGTTTGGAGTAGCTCTACACATGTTTTAGGCCTTTTTGGGCGATTATTAGGGGTCTACTGAAGATGCTGGAATCCTATTGTTACAGTTGTTTTTCTTCTTCCTTATTTTTCTGCCCTAAAAGTGTATGGGCATCAGAGTACGGTCAATCACAGAGACACCAAACCCAGCAGGATCGTCCCAATCATGTACCGCACAGACACAATTTGTGACAATTTGCATTTCCAGGGCTACAAATTTTTTTTTCCTCTGAGTCCATTTCCACCTATAATTTTTTTTTTTTCCATTTTGGATTTTCTTACAAACCTACTTTTTCAAACTCCGTTGGTCTTATCTTTACCAAAAATAGGCACACAGAAGATAGGGGCAGTGCTGGTAAAAAGTTTTCAAAAGAACTTTGATTTGTCGAAGCATTGCAAAGATACAAGTTAATAAATTGGCGAGGCTAGAGACATTTTTACGAGTTGACCTATCTGCTGAACGCAAAATCCGAGCTAAATGAAACTTGACACACATAGACAACAGGACATTCTGAGGGTGCACACCAAGTTTCGTACAAGTCCACCAATTGGGGATGCTACAAATAAAAAACATTATAACTCTGTAACTGTATGATCCATGAAGTGGAAAATTGATATCATCTTCTTTGTCGGACGTAATAACATATCCTCTAATATGACTCGGATACTACAAAAATATGTCCACTAGCAGCCAATTAAATTTCAGCGTCTAATTACAGCAAATCTTAATGGCCTACCATTACAAGCCTCAAGGTGGTGCTATAATAAGCAGCTTTACATTTTAGCTACCTCCACAACCGTGTTGTGTGACAGAATCAAAATTTTTGTTTCTTCTGAATTCTTGCTTTAAGCCCCAACCCTAGCAAAAAATCTAATTTTTATGATTATCTAAAAACCTCATCCACCATTTTAATTGGTTAAAAAACCTAACTCCTCATAGGCGGTTTGTCAACCCTTTCACACGTAAGTTTAAAATATTCGAACTGATCCCCCAGCCTAAGTTTTTCTAGGCGACCGTTATTTAGAACCTGTCACTTTAATGTTTCCATGGTGACGCGTCATTGCTTGTCACGTGACACAGCGCAACCACAACACAGCGCTGAATGAATGATGATCTGCTTTTATGTAATTTCTCCTTTTTTATTCAAAATATTCACAAATGTATTAGCTATAATACGAAACAATGATATTCTGATTGTCAAATATGTGCAAGTGGATGTGTTATAACGATCGCGTTAGTTAGGCTGTGTGTGCGATGGGCGGCGCCATGTTAGTTTACAACACGTCAATTCCTCAACTTCTCACGAAATACATGAAAGTAAAGCCTAGTTCACACTACATGATTTTAAGCCCGATTTAAGCCCGATTTAAGCCCGATTTGCAAATCGTTGAGCTCGCCGATAGGTCAGGGTGTTATCGCGTGCAAATCGCGGGGGATCAGCGGGCGATGAACGCTCGCCAATCTGTTAGTATGAAAGAGCCAACAACGCATCAAAGACGCTCGCAGACGCCTCGCAGACGCGTAGCCAAGCCCAGAAAAATATCTAGCATGCTAGATATCCAGAGCTGTCGCACGACTCAAGCTCACGTGATGTCATGAGCTACAGCCAATCAGAGCAAGGCATGTTCGCGTGTTGTCTTCTTCGCTGGGTATTGGCGCGCGTGCTGTTTCACGTAATTTCCGGTTCGTTTTATCGCGTGATTTTTCGTGACAAAACGTGGTTTGTAGACAAGATAGAATCGTTGGGTGACAGAGTTGTTGTCAACTCGTGTAGTGCGTTACCTCCTGTTGCGGATCAATCACGTTGTGTCGTGTGGTGTGAACTAGCTCAACAACTTGAACACTCCTGATTTCACAGAGAGCAAGTCATGTAGTGCGGTTCGCACAGTTCAGCCCGACGTTTTACAATCATGTAGTGTGAACTAGGCTTAAGTGGCCGGTGAACTGGGAGAAGAATAGGGTAAAATATAAAGCTACTTACACAATGTGTATCTGATATGAATAAAACGTGTCGTCTTTTATAATGGAAAGGATTATTATTGCCGCTTCCATAGACATCAGTGTGTATTTTACAAACTCAAAATAATTTTTTTGCTAGTACTTATGTGTATTTAAATGTCTGGAACCTAAAATAAACATTATGTGGTTGAAAACACTGAATAGTTGTGATATTTGACAGCACTGAGCGCGTCTGTCTCTGGCTCAGCGCCAGCCAACGCACGAATTAGCACTAGCACTTTTGAATTTAGCAGTTGATCACGTGATGAACTGACCGTTCTGATCACACCGGTGTCGTACGCTCCAGGGACTAGCCAAGACTGATCACACCGGTGTGATCGTACGCTCCAGGGACCAGCCAAGACTGATCACACCGGTGTGATCGGACGTGCAACTTTGCACGTCAGCTCTAGACAGTAGCGTACCGTGGGGTTTCAGTCAGGGCCGTTTATTTGTAAAGCACGTTTCACACACGCGCGTGATTTTAGTATTGCTTTCTCTGGCAGCGCAAAATCAACAGCCTAAATATATTGCCCTTGTGGAGGATAAAATTCACTCTTCAGACCATTTACAAGAAACCATGAAGATATCAGAAAAGAGATCGTTTGTCTATTTCCTGCTCATCCATTTCATCACCACCGCGACTTTTTTTAGGGCTTATAGTGGATCAATTAAATTAAATTAAACTAATTAAATAATTATTTTAAAGATAAAAATGTCTCCTGACACTATTAAAGTCACACTAGTTTTGTACTTTCATTTAAATTACATACAAACTAAAGTATTGTTATTTTTATAATAATTTTACAGCAAATGTTTTTGCTGTATAATAGGCAGAGATGGGACCAAGTCACACATGTGCAAGTCTCAAGTAAGTCTCAAGTCTTAACCTTCAAGTCTCAAGTAAGTCCCAAGTATTTTTTTCCTGGGCAAGTCAAGTCAAGTCAAGTCACAGGCTATGTCAAGTCAATTCAAGTCAAGTCCTGTAGTAGGTCAAGTCAAGTCCAAGTCAAGTTACCTTATTATTGTAAATTTACCTGCAGAATTTTGATCTTACCTGCAGAATTTGATCTTTTCAAACCAGTTTGGTTTGAAATGAACAGAGGCGCATTCGGAAATGCATTTGGGTATAATGACACATTCATTCACTTTTCTCTTTCGCGCAGGTCATGTTTTGAAAGTCAGTGTCCTCTAGCTTACTAATTTAAAGAAATAAAAATGTATACAAAAATGTGATGATGTCCGACTACTTTTATGAAGAAGAAAGCCTTAAGTTTTCAAAAAACATTAGACAAATGACCCACTATTCTGCTTCGTGTATATATCAATGAATTCAAACGTGCGTTGGCTGGCACTCAGCCAGAGACATACGCTTTCAGTGCTGTCATACATAACAACTGATCAGTGTTTTCAACCACATAATTTTTATTTTAGGTTTCAGACATTTAAATACACATAAGTAGGCCTACTAGCAAAAAAAAAAAATACACACTGATGTCTATGGAAGCGTCAGTAATAATCCTTTCCATTATAATAAGACGACAGGTTTTATTCATATCCGATACACATTGTGTAAATGGCTTTACATTTTACACTATTCTTCTCCCAGTTCACCGGTCACTTACTTTAATGTATTTTGTGGCGCCACCCATTCGCACATACAGCTCAACTATGCAATGTTATACAGGCATTTAAACAACAAAACACATCCACTTCCACATATTTGACAATCGGAATATCAGTGTTTCATGTTATAGCTAATACATTTGTGAACATTTTGAATAAAACAGGAAAAATGACATAAAAGCAGATCATCATTCATTCAGCGCTGTGTTATGGTTGCGCTGTGTCACGTGACAAGCAATGACGCGTCACCATGGAAACATTAAAGTGAGTGACAGGTTCTAAATAACGGTCGCCTAGAAAACCTCACGCTGGGGGATCAGTTAGAATAGTTTAAACTTACTTGTGAAAGGGTG